GTATGAGAAGACTTCTGTAACTCCAAGGACAACTCATGTAAACAACTCTGAAGAATTAGGGCTTAAGTTTTTGAGGAATGCATATAAATAATTTTTATAGTTTAATCTGGCATTAATGCTCTATGTACAGGTCACATTATGTTGCAGAGGGAGTCCACTGTTAACTTGTTTCTCCCTTTATTGCCGTTTATTATAAATTATTTCACTGCAATTTCAAAGATAAGTGAAATCTATACAAATGTATAAAAATAATGTTTATTAATTACATTTTCCTTGCTTCTTTCCCCCTACATGAAATAAGTTCAACAATTCTTTTTTTCTTTTAGAAAATTACGCCATATGTAAGATGAAATTCGCCTCTGTTTAGAGAGTGCCACTAGAAAGTTATTAAATCCCACTTAGCCCCTCTTTTTGCCATCATCAGAAAGCCTTCAGAACATAACACCTGACATTTTTCTAGGATGATAGGGGCCTTTAGACATACAAAATGCATTTAAAATCAACTTTGTAATTCTAAGACTAGAATTATTTCTTAACCTGTGTCTATCTTGACAGTGTTCCATATTTACCATCAGTTTTCAAGCAGTTCTCCTATATTGAGTTCAATGGCTGGTTCTGCTTAAAAGTTTATTGGCACAATACAGTTTTGTGAGTGGTAACTACATATAGGATGACATGAAGGGAAAGCCTTTTTGTGAGCTAGTAAAAGGAAGGAGGACTGTACCTTTTTAGCCTAGAGTCGCTACTTATAGTTAAAATAACTTGTCCTCAACTATTATTTGGGGGCATATACATGTGCAAATGCTGCCTGATGGATTTACTCCAGAGTATTCTCTAGTAGCATTCTGCTGCTACCATGTTAGAGCACCGTGGGCAGGCACTTACACATGCGCCCATTTGGGAGCAGATTTGATGCTCCTAGAAGCAGTCTGCTTTTGCCCCTGACCAGGACAGTTCTTGATCAGCCCTGGGTTGATTAGCTCAGGCTGCTCAATTCCTGGCCAGCTCCAGGCTGCACATGCAGACTTCCCCTCATAGCCTGGGACTGGCTGAGAACTGTCCTGATCGGGACAGGTCCCGGCCACAGCTCCCTGCCCCAGTTCCGTTCTGCAGTTGAGGAGCAGGGGCTAGGAGTTCCCTGCTGCTGGGGAGGAGGACACTGTCCCCAACTAGGATCTGGTGGTAGGGCCCACCCAGGTAGCAGGCAGCTCCTGAGGGCAGGGAGCAACCTGTCAACCTCTGCTGCCTGGCTGACTGGGAGCAAATTTGCTGTCAGCTAGCCATCTGTGTGTGCCTTACTGCACAGTAATTACTAGCTACTTGCAAATGCAAATAGCAAAATAACTGCCTAGTGGAGCAAATTGCTGCGCAGCAAGGGTCTGCAGTACTTAGACGCAGATGCTTACTATTCATTAATTTGCTCTATTACTCAATAAAGCATCTCTTGTAGACACGCCCTTTGGCAATAAATAGAAACTGGGCTTTTACTGTTCTGAACTTACCGTCAGCACCATAATCTTGGACACTTATGTCCTAGGAATTCATGCCACTTAAATAGAACTCCAGAGAGTGGCTGTGTTCCAACACTGATTTGTCCTTTTATAACCTACATGCATATAATAATAATAGATATATTTTTTTAACCTTTGCAAAATCTATAGATGTGACTGCTAATGATTAAAATATTAGCCCACACTTGCATCTCCTTGTGCCTTAACTATAGCACAATTAATTGCTTTCCCGCCTTATCTATTACCTGTTTATCATCCATTAGAAAAGCAAAAGCATGCTTAATTTTTTTATCGTCCTGCCACTCCAGTGTCATTCACCTTTTATTTACAGCCGTTGGCTTCTGATTAGCTTGGAGATTATTATGTGTAATCTCTTATTACTTGTACTGGCATTTAAAATCTTCATTCAACTGCTTCTCCCATGTGCCAGTTTGATTCACACTTGCAGTCTTTTATGGGTTTTGCCCTCTGGGTGAGACAATTTTACATGTCTTCTCTTTGTACCTGTGCAATTTCTAAGTGGAGAGTTTTCTTTTATGTGGTTCCAAGCTGTTGGGAAAGCCATCTTTTTCAGGTGTGTGTATTTGTTAAGTTTTATAGTTGCACAGGGCATTTCATAATTTGCATAGGAAGTGTACTAACTAATGTTAATCATTGCTTAAATTTTCCAGGGTTCATCAACATTAATTAGTCAGTCTTTGCAACACTTCTGTAATGTAACTGAGGTTCTTTCCATTTTGCTTTTAGTATATCAATGAGACATATAGAATAAATGACTTTTTAAACTGCATACTGAGATAGGCTAAGAGGGTTGAGGAGTAAATAGTTCCCAACTCCAGTGTCTGTCCAGTTAGACAATACCTAGTAAACAAAGCTTGAAAGTTTTAGTATTTTTTTCTTTGTAATAAAACTGGTGTGTTCATTAACATTTTAGTAGTATAACAGTAAACATATGCATGGAGAAATGTTTTGCAAGAAAAATGCTTTTTTTTCATTTAGAGATGCATTCTCAATCTCTCCTCAGTAGTTTTTTTATTTTTCATCTTTCATTCAGTGATTCATAAATGACATTTAGTCATACCAGTCCCAAAAAAGCCATGCTGTATGTATTCTAACAGTCATTATTGGAACCTAGATGTGCTAAATTTCAGACACACTATTTTGTGCGCACATTCTTGCTTGTGCTTATGTGTGTTCTCTCTCCCAAATCAGTTTTGAACTTATTTACAAAATGCACCTTGGACAAAGTCATATCAGAAGGATGCATAGCTCGTCTGTGCTTTCCCCTTGTTCTCTCACTTATTCCTTGCAGGAATCTGTGTTCGCTATCCCTCTTTGTGCTGAGTGATGGGAAAGATGCTGGGATTCTATTTCTTGATCCACATCAGAAATGGATCCAGGATTTTGAAAAATGGAGTGAGGGAGCAGCAACCAGGGCTTCAGAGGTGTTTGTACCCCTTGCTCCCAGCCTTTCTCCCCTTGTCCCCCACCAAGGGTGCATAGCCCATGCACCAGGAGAAGCAGTTGAGGACTTTAAGTCCCCAAAGCAGATAAAAATCTTCCCCCTCCTTCCTACATGCTCAGAATCGTATCCTTCCTCTCCCACTCCTGCCTGCTGCTGCTACTGCCACTGTTCCCACTGTCTTGGGGGTGAGGGAAGCTCCAGACCTACTCCTACCTGCTCCAGCTGGGTTGTTTGGGGACCAGGCTTCAGGCTGATGGCTCTGATCCCCATTTCCAGGTTCCCCCTTTCTGCTTCTAGATTGGCAGCTGGGGTGACCAGGGAGGGAGGAGGAACCTATCCGCTGCTGCGGTGTCCCCACTGACCCAAGGACTGGGGGAAGCCAGAGCCACTCTTGCCCATTCCAGCAAGCCTGCATGCAGGCTTACTGCAGGAGGACATGCCTGCATGTCCTCCTGTAGTGGGGAAAGGTATAATTGGGGAACTTAAAAAAATGTTGCTGTCAGGTACTTCTGTGGTATGGTCAGAAAAGGTGGGTGTAACCGTGCCTCTGCACCTTCTCTGGATCCACCCAATCCACATGGCAAAGTGGTTAGGTGTGCAGAGGAGTCATCACCAGATTTGTGCACCACTCAAAACCTACTTAAGCCTTCAAGTTAGAACTTAAATGGTGCATTGGCCCTTCCTGGTTTAGAGATGGATTTTTACCTTACCTGATTCCTGACTGTTACAATGTTGCTGGCGACTCATGAGTTACATGCTGGGCCAAATCTGAAGTAGTACATAGGCAAAGCTCCCATTGATTCATTAGGAATTTTGCCAGGGTCAGTGAGAGTGGGTCATTCCTATATCCCCTGGAAGAGTCAGGGTTATTATTTCTTTATTGATTTGATTTTTATGCTGCCCGTGTTTAAAAAGAAGAAGGCTAAGGACAGCTTAAAATAGAATCCAAAAATGTATAGAAACAGAGTCAAATATTAAAATAAAAAAATGCAACAAAATAACCCCCCCAAAAACCTCCAGACTGAAAAACGATCCACTCTCTTCTGCTCCCCTACATCTGATCAAGGCCAGGCTCCCCCACCCCACCCATCTTTCCAACCTACTTTCAATACAAGAAAATAGACATTCCCTCTCCCTCACCCCACCCTCTGCAACCATTTCCCTCCCCTCCCTTCGAGCAGCCTGCTTCAGACCCAGGGGACTTTTCAGGTCCCCACCTTTGCTTTGCCTCCCTTTCCCCAAAACCTACTCATTCTACCCCCACCCCTCACATATTAAAACCCATTGCTAGGTTTAAAAAGAAAAGAAAATAGAGACAGTACTAATAGAGCCTCCCTGTCCCCATGTCTGTCCCTGTCATAGGGCAATGCCAGAGGGCACCCTTTGGCAGCACCTGCCCGAAGGTGTTGTCCAGTCCTTTTAAGGGCCCCATGCTGGTTTATTTTTCCAAAATCTTTTATTTTTCCAGCTCAGCTGGTCATGCAGTTTGCTCAGCCCTCATTGAATAAAATTTTTGTACAAAATAATTTTTACTTTTAATATCTTCCTTGTTTCTTTGGGGTTTATGTTCAGATGCCTAAATGCATAATTCTTTTTCCTCAAGATCCGGCATGTGTGGTTATGGTTCTTGAATGATCAGTCTTTGTGAGACTTCATGCTGAGCTCACCCTTGACCACTTCAAGCTAAAGTGAAGGGAAAGTTTGTGATTACTGTAGCAAACGGATGGTACTAGAAAGGGTGTTAGATAACATAGATCAGCTAATTCTGGCCTAACCTTAAATCCTTTTCCTTATTTGGACCAAGCCTAAGCAATTTTCCTAAGGCAAAATTCCCAAAGAAATTAACTGAACCTTGAAAAGATGTCACAGGAAGGATTTGCACTCAGTCCTAAGTCAAAATATTACATGGTTACCCAGGGCTTAGTATAAGCCCTGTATTATTCTTATTCTTCCTCTTCTTCTAGAGGGCAAATGGTTAGTTATTTTTAACTGAAATGCATTTCTTTAACGTCTTATCTTTCTAGACTGGCAGATAGCTACTCTTGCTTTGCTTTTGGGTGGTGCTGCCATCATTCTCATCGCATTCCTGGTTGGATTGATTTCAATCTGCATAGGATCTCGGAGGCGCTTCTACAGACCAGTGGCAGTCATGCTATTTGCAGCAGGTAAATACATTACCCAAACAGTCTGAAAATTTCCTAAGGCCAGCCGCTTTTTCTTACAGAAGAGAGATGTGAGTTGGTTCAATAATAATTCAGAGATATTTGAGTTGTCTTATGCTAAATTGTATTACGTATTATTTTTGCAATGTATTAATCATTTTTACAGTGCACTGATACCACTTTTAAATCTAATGCAAACAAATATTGTTTATAAAGCATGTGATGTAGCAGGGGCTAGAGGGGATGATGTTGAAAGCATCCGCTTTTGGAGTCAGTGATATTATGTTGCCTGATTGCTCCCACCCTCTTAATATTTTTCAAAGCTCTGTCTGAAGTTTTAATGTCCTTCATTTTAAAATTCAAAAATAGGGAAAATTAATTCCCAAGTGTGAACCCTTGAAGCCATAAGTATGAAAATAAATAGGATTAAATTGAAAGGTGTTTATTCTGTTCCTGTGCCACAGGAGGAATTAATTTCATTGTGTCAGGTTAGCTCTTAGTTATTAATTTAACAACTGTCACACTGTAAAGCCCCTCTTTGATTTTCAAAGTACCAAAATGGAACAGTTTATGCAGAGTACAGGGAGACTTTAAGAAAGACCCTTGAAGACAAACAGGCCAGAAAAATACTCTAATGCAGTACATAATTGCCATACCGAATCATCCCTCGTTTTATGCATTCTGGTGTTTTCATCTTAGCTAGTAAAGGATATTTTTCTCCCCCTGAGATCCACCAACCTTGGCTTCCCTTTGTTCTGTCAGTCATATCTGTGTTGGAACCAGCAGAATAAGCCTGTCTCATACCCCATAATGAAGAAACTGACAGCACCATCTAGTCTGTTGGATGGATTTTAAAAAGCCATTTACAACAATATGAAAAGATAGGTCCTCGGATTTTGAAGGGTATTTTGAACTGAAACAAAGATCTGAGGAAGGATCCTGCTGCCCCCTGCTGTTTGCTTGAAAATTGTTGAACTGTAGTTCAGAGCTAGAGAGAGGCATGTATACATGCAAGTAATATTAATAATGCAGTCTAGCTCAGTTTGTTTTTTAGAGAGAGGTGACAAAGTGGGTTCAGAATTCTTCAGTAGAATTGGGTCTTGATGAGCTGCATATGACATACATGACCAAGACAACCTAATCCTTTTCTCCTTTTAAGAAGACTGAACATTACAAAATTATGCATAGCAATTAATTTAAGGGCATGGGATTATTGACCTTCATTCATAGTTTTTCATTTGCCCTTTGACTCCATATGTCACAACAGTTTGCATTGACTGCTTAGAAATATACCCCCAGTCATGTCTTATTGCTTAATTAGTTTATTATTAAATTAATAGCTTAAAAAGACATGTTTTCTCTTTAGAGGGAGAGCAAGAGAGAGAGAACTCAATATATTTAATTGGGAATTAATTGAGTGTTCTTTGTGTAGTAAAACAATTTTGCTGTTAATGATAATCTCCATCAGTAAGATACCTATATTAGTTCTTTACCACTTGAGAGAGATCTGCCTGTTTCTTTTAACTTATGTAATGGGTATAGGTTTGGGTGTTAAAGTGCTGTGGCCCGGAATGTGTTCAAGGGAGGAATATGATGAGGCTGAGCAGAGTTGCCTTATGTCACATCATTATCTGACAAATTTAATGCTTTGTGATTTCTTGTTGACATTTTCATAGTTTCCTCTTCAGGATTGTTGCTCTGGTTTCAGCTGTCATTGGAGGTGGGTGGAGGCCTGACATCACCTGAGAGCACTGTGATGCTGCAGGTGGGCTCTAGGCTACATTAGGGAAGGATTTGCCCTCCATGCAGATATTCCTTGATTTAGATTTTTCTGTGGTTTCAGAATATCTTAGTGGTTAGCCAGGCACAGCTCCAAGAATCTGTTGATCTTATGGCAGATTCTATGTGAATATGCTTAGGAATTTAATCCTAAACATATTTCCAGTGAAGAGAGTTACTTACAATATAAGGTACCTAGAACAACTGACAGGTGTAGGGAAATGGATGACAGTTGTGGTAGGAGCTATAAAATAAGTGAGGGTAGGGCCTGTAGAGACTTTAGATTCTGATCAGTTGTTTAAGGTTTTTATTTGGTTGGCTACATTTAACTGTTTTTTTGTCTCAATTTAATGCTTATATGGCAAATGTGGAAAGAGTTAAGGAGGAAGAGTATTTGCAGACTAAGGAAGAAGATGGACAAGTTAGTTTTTGAGAATAGGCCAATAAGGGGTAAGCCAGTAAGTAGACTGGCAGATGGATCATTTAAAATGTGTATGCAGAATTAAGTAGTTAAGTGGAAGAACAACTGCATAGAGTTAATATTATAAACACAAACTTGCTTTTCCATTAACTCAGGAAGCCACTCCCTAGATCTCTTGACTTCTGTATATAGATCCTTTCTCCACACCCAGTCTAAATCTTGTTCATTTGGTCTGTAATCCATGATTTGCATTACATATCAGCATTCCCCAAAACTGAAATGTTTCAAGTGTCTTCCCAAAGGGGCTTTCATGATGGGGCATATTCCAGTTTTATATTTTGTTTACCCTTTAAAATTAGTTTGTGGTGGGGACATTCTTGTCAGGTAGCTCCTGTTTCTAGATTCTCACTCACTAGTAAAAAGGAGAAGACCTCTCCAGACAGGAGGGTCCTCTTCAGACACCAGTAGCTGTTGGAGAGGCAGTATTTCACCCAACCATCATTCCATCACCTTTCCTAATGAACAAGCAGTTCAAATGCCATTCAAGCACTGATTCTGTAGTCACAGATTAGGGCGGCTCCTTCCCTTTTGGATGATTCCTGATTCTCATATGTACATTCATAGGGAGCACCTAGATATATCTTCCAATCCCAAGGTCAAATCTCATGCTTTTGTGTTACTGCATAAGTAGCATGTCCTACTATTCATTCAATGTTTGGCAAATGATATCCACATTCTTCAGCTGGAGGCGGGATGACTTTCTCCAAGTTTGAGATCTGGGAACAATGACTTTTATACTGTTGGTATGTGAAGTAGAGGCTCCATATTTTATTTGATACCTCTTTAAGACCATGACTTGAATTTTTTTTAAGGTACTGTTCAGAGCACCTTGAAATAAATAAATACATCCTGTTTTAAAGACTTGTAAGTGCAGTGGCATTCTTCATGAAAATGAACCCTGCACTGTGGGATGGACTTGGAATGAATATTGCAGTTTGTAACACAGGATTAGCCTTTTTTGGTAATTAGAATTTCTTTTAAAAAGCTGTCTTTTGTTTGGCTACTGAAAGAATTGGTGGTTCCAGAACTGCAGCATATTTAGTCCTATAAATAAGGCCACATAAAACTGAGCCTCTTCTAAATTCAGCTGCAAGGGATTTTTCTGTAGTAATACGCATTTGGTTTCAATGTGCCCAGTCACCTCTGGACTTGCTTACTGCTTACACCAGCAGTATAAGAATGCGGCAGGGTGCTCAGGGTGACTGCCACGCAGAGTGGCAACAGCAATTTCTGGGTGCTGCTGCTGTCATGATCACAGTTCTAGGGCCATGGCAAAAGCTGTTTTACTGACACCCCAGTTGGTACACAGGGCAGTTGCCCCTGTCACTCTACCCTACTTGTGCTACTGGCTTACGCTTCAGGTTTTTTTACCTTAACTTTTCCAACTGCCGCCACTCATCCACATAGCTTTACGGGTAATAACAACAGTGAGGGGCATGTAGGTGTAATTGGTGTATGGGTGTAAAACAGCTGCAGAATTAAATAGAATGCAGTACAGAATCAATATAGTTGTTTGAAGTCAAAGGCTAATCTACACTTGCACTTCTGTTGTTTCTGTCAGTGGTGCAGCTAGGCCATTAATAGCAATAGTGATAACTAATATTTTTAAAAAGGTATTTAGTACATAGCCTCTTTAACTGCAGGTTTCTATTCCAAAAGGATCCGTCCACCTCTTTTTCTTTGTGAATTTGATGCATTGATTTCTCTGTAGTATACTGAATTCGTGTGTTAGCATTTCAGAAGTGACTTGATAAAAGTACCTCCTGATGACTCAGCATGGAAGTCCTGAGGCCTCAGTTCAGGAAAGTGCTAAAGCATGTTTTTAAGTCCATCTTTCTTTGGAATGATTCATTGATTTTGCTAGGACTTAGGCAGGGATTCAGAAGCTACAGGCATGCCTACATGTTTTTTTTTCTGAATAATAATGCTCTCAATCAGCATGAAAATATCCTTACCCTAGGAGTATGAACTTATCCTATTGTCCTTGGTCAAAATTTACTCTCCTGCCTTTCCTACAGTTGCATTGCTAGTAGACAAAATGCTGAGTGTAGCAGCATTAAAATTGTACTCACCTGAAAGGATAGGAAGGGCTGCTCTGCAGAGGGACAAAGTGTGAGGAGAGAGTGGGTTTGTCTCAGAAGTGATATCATTTGCCGTAAGGGCAAGTGAAGCTGCTTTGGAGGCAGCCCTCTTTGAAGTGGGAGGGGTGATGAAACCCCAGCAGGGGTTTTGCATGAGAGGAACCTTAGCAAAAGCCTGGGAAGAGTCCTATCATGGAAGTGGCTGAGAGGGCTTGTTTAAAAATGGGGAGCAGTTTTCCTCAGGAGGCAGAATAAAAGGAAGAGAGAGGAGAAGAGAGACAGGCTGGAGGCCAGGAAAAGAACCTCACCACGGCCACCCCTCAGAAAGCCCCTATCGGAGCTCTGCAGAAGTGGTAGCTAGAGGCTGACCTGGAGAGAAACACAGTATCCTTTCTTCCTCTTGTTCCCCTTTGGAGCACTGCCGGGGTAGGCACAAAAGAGGAGCTGCCTGACAAGAGACTCCGAGACTGGGAAGAACCTCTTGCAAGCCCCTGCATGGCGTGGATGACCACAGGAGGGGAGTGGGACACAGACCAGGGGGAGACTGCCCTGGTTTGCTCCATGAGTGAGAAGGCACCCGGGGAGGGGCAGTGTGCCAGAGTGAGCACTGGGTAGAGGGAGCAGGTGACTGTTACAGCACACCAGAAGCCCTGGTGCCAGGTAGGGCCCAGGGAGAGGCTGCATTTGTTGGGTTGTGTGAGGGGCAGTGGGCAGGGGGAGCAGCCCCAACCCCATGTGCAGCAGGCATTCTGTGCATGCCGTGTGTAGCACGCACACTGGCTCCACCCCTGTACACCCAGTACACCCTGTACACCCATGTGGCACAAGCCAGCCCCAGCCCCAGGTGCTGCATGTGGCATACGAGCTAGCCCGGAGTGCATATTGCATGCAGTGCCTGCACCAGACTGGCCTTGCATGCTGGATCTGGGGCTGGTTGGGGTCAGGCCCATGGACCAACCCTCAATACCACATGCACAACATAGGGGCTAGGGACAGACAATACACACAAACTGGTTTAAATGATCAGAAACTGGTTTAACCCTGTAGCAGAACAGATGTTCAGTGTGCATAAACCAATTTGAAAATGGCTGAAACCGGTTTGAGATTAACCTGGCTGAATGCAGTGTCAGACTTAACTGATTTGAGTCAAACTGGTTTATGCAATGTCTGTCCCAGATTCCTTCATGGTTTAAGCTAAACCAGAGTCCCCCAGCATCCCAGATGCTTTGCAGCCCTGGACAGGGATCTCTGCTCCAGAGCAGGGCTGGCCCTGCCCCTCTACTCCCTGGCTGGAGCTCTGGCAGAGGCTGCAGGCACAGCAGTGTCTGCCTGGCTCTTCCCCTTGCTCCCCACCCCCCTGCTCGATCAGGGATTTTCCCCTCTCTTTTCCCACAGCACAGACCACGTCTGTGCAAGGCAGACAAGGCAAAGGCAGATAGGACAGTGTTTGCTTAGAGCTTTTGGGGGCTAATCAGCAGGTAGCTGGTAGTGTCCCTCCCTTCCTTCCTTGGAAAAAGCTGTTTAAGAAGAGCTTGAACCAATGAGAGATCCTTTTGCTTTGTTGATGGGGTGCTAAATGCTAACAACTCCCTGTGTAACTCTCTGCTGTCTAACTCAATGCTCTGTTATCAATTGCCTGCTAGCCCCATCCTGGTGGTGGGGGGGAACCCCTCCCTAATCAAAGCATCCTGTGGGGCCTGGCCATGCCCCCCTCAGCTCAGCATTATGGAGGGGAAGGGAGGGCTGTTCTAGCACCCCTGGCTTGTAGCCTGAGCCACTGTAGGCATGTGCCTGCATTTCCTCAGATCAAGGGGATCTCTGTGTGGTTACAACCAGTTCAGCCTAGCCAGGTTAGACTAACCTGCAAAGATTCAGGCTCAGGCTTTTTGAATGTCTGTTCCTAACTAGTGAACCAACTCTGTGTGCCAGGGTTGGTGGCCACTGCATGTAGCACATGGAGCTGGAGCTGGCATGCATGCTGCATGCAGTGCACAGAGGCAGTTTAGGATGTGTGCTACATATGTGGGTCAGTCTGACCCCATGTTCCTTGTCTGGCCCATGGGCTGAATGAATTTGATACTCCTGGTCTACATCAGGAATGTGTGGTTTGAAAACAGTCACTTGAAAACACAAGTAGTGACAGCCAAAGTCTGTCTGGGGAGCTGCTGGGTGCTCAGTACTTTTTGGATTTATCCTTTTTATTTTTATTTTTTTTAAATAATAGCTTCAGAGCTTGATTTTCTGTTCTTCCAATTACCTGGAGTTACATCAGTTTAAAATAAACAAGGGATGTGAATGAAGCCCAGGAATAGAAAACATAAAATATGAAAAATATTTTTAATTCCATGCAAAGCTTAGGCCTTTATTGTGACAACACAGTTCACACTATATACTACCATTGACTTCAGTTGAATGGGTGTGAAAGTATGGTTGTAACTGAGCTGGAGCAACTTCTTGCTGAGAATCTTCTTGGTTTAAGAAGTACTGTGTTCCTTTTATTTCTAGATCACTGCTTTAGACCAGTGATCTAATTTGTCTCTTGAATCTACACTGTATGTGTGCAAAGTTCCTCTGATTTGGGAGCAACTCAGAACAACTGACAACAGACATGTCTGTTTCATAAAAACTGCTATCCACATTGGCAGCCTTGAGTGAAAAGCCAAAGATTGAATGGAAGTGAAAACCCATCTTACAATAAGTTTGTTTCACAGTACTAGGACTGCAGTACTGAAAATCTTGCACTTTACGTTTGGAATAGCAGTTAATTAAAAGGCTTAGTCTTTAACTAAAATGGCAAACTGGCATCTTTCATTAGTATTTAATCCTTAGTAGTTTGTAAAGTAAAATAAAAAGGCAAGTGAAAATTTGTGTGTACCATAAATGTGTGAGCAGTATGATAGTAACCTTAATATTTTATTTTGCTATAATTTCTCATGTAATTTCAAAGAGAATTCTATAATTCAGAGCTCTTTTAGTATAATTATGAGTTTGGCCCTGGGCATTTAAAAAAATCTAATAGCTTTTTTGCTTTTTAAAAAATGACTTCCTGTTTGGTTAAAATCTATGTGGTAGTGCACTTCCAGTGGTGGACACACCTATCCTGCCTATATTTAAATATGTGCTTTGGATGTGAACAACCCATTGAACTCAAGGGACTGTTTGTGCCTGCCGAGTTAATCACATGCTTTAATATTTGAGTTTTAAGGCCAAGAAGGACCTTTGGAAAAGGTCCATGCTATGTATCCGGGCTGCGAAAAGGCTGGAATTTATTTTCCTGTGCTGCCTGATGATCACATATTGTGTACATGTAGTCCATGAAGCCCAAGGCCTAAGGGACCATTATATCATCTTGCTTGGCCTCCTGTATGTCACAAGCCATTACATTTCATCCAGTTATCTTTGTATTGAGTTCAGTAACTGTTTATTCCAGTTAAATTAATGGCAGTTGTGTGCCTGTGTTTAAGGGAGAACAGATCCTTATGAGCGTGGGTTTTCCCTCCATTCACAATGCACATTCATTGTATTGGTAGTTGACATACAATGCTATATTTACCAGGTTTATTAAATTCTGTTGCAAATGTGTTTAGAGTATACATACATCAGGCTGCATAAAATCTCCTCTCAGTCTCTCTCTCTCAGGGAAACGTCATCATCGTCATACAAAGAAATGGTTTTCTGGGCTTTTTGCTGCTGTGAATTTATTCTGTTTCATTAGTTTTCAGCCAGGGCAGGATATTCTACTCCACCCACCCTTGAGTTCTACTTTACTAGTGGTTAACTAAACTTCATGAATTCCTCTGGTGCTCTGTGTAATTATATGATTAATTCTAATTACAATAGGTGATAAAATGCATGTAATTCATAATTCCTTAAGAATTCCATTAGACATTAATAAATAACACCTATTACTATGAATTACTACTCATCTAAAATAAATGGTTTGTTTGATTGTGAGTTATGTTCTTGTTTCTTTATTCTTTCTTTCCCTTATGACACATTTATAATACCTATAAGATTAGTCATTTTAGTTTTGGTCTCAAAAAGAATTCCAACTTCAGACTGAAAAAAAGGAGAACAAAAAATGGGAAGAGATTAGTTGTATTCATTATCTGGTGATGTAGAGTGTCTCACTTCCTTATAGAGTAGAAGTAACCTTTGTTCACGTGCAGCAGAATGTATCGTAACTGCTATACTCTCTATAGATAGCAGACAGAGCTTACATATTGTTTCTATTCAAATATTGTAATACCTATAAATAAAAAATTGCAGCAAATGTGAAATTTGATAATGGAATGTTTGCCTTGTTTTATGTAATAGAGCAAAAACCCATTCTTTTCTGACCTTTGGCTAATTTTTCTTTCAGTTGTTCTTCAGGTGTGCAGCCTAGTCCTTTATCCAATCAAGTTCATCGAGACAGTCAGCTTGAAAATATACCATGAGTTCAACTGGGGCTATGGCCTGGCTTGGGGTGCAACTATATTTTCATTTGGGGGTGCCATCCTTTATTGCCTGAACCCTAAGAACTACGAAGACTACTACTAGAACTGTTTACTTTAACAAAACAGAAAGAGAAAAAAAGAAAGAAAAAATAACAAAAAGGATTACTCCATCTTTTCTAACTCTCAGTTTTTTTAGAACACTTGTGGAGCGCCAGATAGTATGCTCTGTGGATAAAGTAGCCTTTGCCTTTTGGCTGTGAACGCTGTAACCAGCTTTTACATTCAAGAGAACAGATATAAAACATCAGATTAAAAACAGCTGATCTTGCATAGACAAATGCTGCAAGCTGTTGATACATTAACTTCATTTTTCTTGACAACAAGCAAAGGATCTACGTGACAAATCATTATGAGAAAAGTAGTTGGAATGAAAATGCCCATATCTGCCATTGCCTGCGGGGAAGCAGCTGGCATGAGCTCCATTTAGAAGTTTTCTTATATAATGGAGGATTCAAAGGTTGTTTTGAGCAGGCAGTACCATTTTATACAATGAGCTAGCCTCTGGTCACGTATTTGAAAAATCTCTTGGGGAATCAGTTGCAAGTGGATGTATGTTAGAGACTGTGAGTGGAACTGGATAGTGACTTTCCTAATATCTACATTCAGAAGTCTCTGGAAAAAAGGAGAAGTTTCTGCTTTGGTGATCCATATTTTCCCACCATGGGTGGGAAATCACTGAAGGAAGTCAGAACCTAAAAACACATGTTTCTAATTATGTGGCTGGAAGTTGTCTCAGCTCTGAGCATTGTGGAGGGAGGAAGGGAGGGGCTAAATGAAGGTAAAAGAGGGCCTTGTTTCCTTGAGGCATATAAAATGCATGCAGAAGCTACATTTGTTCTAAATATCATTTTAATTTCAGACATCACAGTAAAAAATGCATAATGAGTCCAAGTAAGTATTTTTATAGAAGGTATTTGTTAGTATAAATAAATATACAAAAAACTTATAGGTAATGAATCCTCACATAGAGGGAGACACATATATTACATCTAAAAGTAATATTAGCTATGGTGCAGCAGTTAAAGCACTAACTTTATGCACATTCTCCAGAGTATTGGACTAGTATCTCTAGTTTGGGTTGGTATTACAAAATAAATATAATGTCAAATGCTCTGTTCTCTCTGTATGTCCTTATAGAAGCTCAGTTTTGATGGAAAATGTGTAAAAGTTCATATAAAGTTAAGTTAGAACAGAATGAAATGATTAGCTGATGATGTCATAATTTGGTAATTATTACATTTTTAATGCTGATTTAAAACGAAGTTGTAAACAGATTGCCATTTTAAAAAATCCGTTAAACTCATGAGTGTCTTCAGTCGACAAAAATGTAGTTGAGACCAAGTCATGCACAAGAACTGTTATCAGTATGGTATATCAGCTGTATAAGTTACATTTGTTTTTCCCCTTTTGAGTTTATAATAAAATGGCAAAAAAAAAATGCTTCTAAAGATGGTTCCCCACATAAAACATATAGACAGTCCAAATGAAATGAGAGACAAATTAAACTGGGAGAACTTTTAAATTCACTTTACCTGAATAACTTTTATTTTTGTTTAAAAATTGCTTATTTGGGTCCTTTCAATTAATGGTGAGCATATTTTTATACACCTGATACAGTTATAATATACAAGTTTAGAAAGAATTATTTTTGTTAACAGGGAGATTTAAAATATAACCTAGTTGGTCCTTTTGGGGGAAACATAACCTTCTCCTGTATTGCTGTTATATAGCTAGTTCCAAAAAGTGATTGCAAAATTAGGACCACATGTAAAGTGCTAAATGGACACACCTTGGTTCACAGAGAGGAAGGAAGGAGGTTCTAAGAAAGGAGCTTACACATCCCACTTCTGTAAGGGGTATATAACTACAATTCTGCCTTTAGAATGGTATTTATTAAAGCACTGCTGTCAGACAAGAAGTAGTTCTGAATTCTGGGCCTTACTGCAGTAAAGTGTGTAATACTGCAGTAGAGTGTTCAGTATAGGCACTGTTCCCTGGACCAGTAGTGTTAGCTAGACTAGGATGACCAAGAAAAATGGTGGTTTCACGTAATATGATGAAGGACAAAGCTATGGGGACTTGAGGAAAAAGAAAAGAGTGTCTGTTTGTTCTGCAGGTATTTGAACATGTTTCTAACTATACTTTTCTGAAACTGGCTTCATGCAGAGACCTGGAGTGTAGTTGACTGTGACTTTCTAAACCACAGTGTAACTGCTTTTAATGTGCATGAGAGGAGGATAATGGGTTGCAACAGGATTTAGCCTAATTTTTAAAAAGCCTATTGTGAAAGCTCTCTGTTCTTTTCTAGAGGAATGATACTTTGGGTGATGACAATTACCTGACACTTTGCTTAGTCTGAGAAGAGAAAGCATAAAATGATAGATCAGCATCATCGTTCTTAATCTTAACAAACCCCATCTTTCTATAGAGCTAGAGAGAAAAACATGCAGCAGACTAAACACAGAAGCATAAATTGCATATATACATTGGAAAACATGGAATTCTTAAATAAAAGCACCATTTGGCATTTCTTTTTATTTTTTTCTAAAAATTTTGGCCATCTAAAGTCAGGTTTCTATTTCCATAAAACACTCAGGGTTCCTATACACATGTGCGGAGCCTACTCCAATGCACTAGAAATCTAGCGCATTGGAGCAGAGTTGATTAATCAAGTCTGCTGGAGCACAGAAATTGACATGCTGCAACGTGCGGATCAATGTCACTGTGCATCTCCATGCTGAAAAAATAGCAGTGCTGCTCTTTGAAATAAAACACATTCAACAAGCTTTAGTTCAAAGTGCCCCACCACTATTTTTTCAGTGCAGGAACATGCAGCAATGCTGATACATGTGACACACGGGCACTTTTAATTAGCACAGCTTGCTAATTATGCACCCGGAGACGCATCCCACAACACATGTAAAAATGCCCTCAGATTTCCAGAGATTCTTACACCTATATCCTTCATGGAATACATGGTATCTGCTCACCTCTTAAGGTCAGGCCCTTCATATTTAGGTGCTTAAGATAATGGATATAGGTACCTTAATTTAGCTTATGCTACTGCTGCTTCTCCCCCGTCCCTCCCCGGTCAAGATTGGCAACTCTGACATGTTTCAGTGCTGAATTAAAAGTAAATGCAGTGTAGAACTGAACTATTTTTCTACCCACAAAATAAACCACTCTTGTGTTTCGGAGTGTATATAAAATAGATCTATCATTTTTATATATTATTCTTGTATCATGCCATCACCACTTCAGTTGTGTTTGGCTTTATCTCACTAGCAGGATAATTTTTCACAAAACAAGCCCATTGTTTATCTTCCAAATATATATAAATATATACATATATATATAGCAGACTTGCAAGCAGGGCTAGTTCTTTGTATTTTTTAAGCTTAAGGTATGCCGTCCGGTGCTGAAAAGTACCTAGCACCTCTTTTGGATTTCTTGCACAACTACATTTAGCTTTTGTAAGTTCAACATGTAAATTTTAAAGACATAAATATAGAGAGACCTACGTGTTTGAAAAAAAAAGATATATATGGATTAGCATGTAATTGTATATTATTAAACATGCAATGAACTGATTGGTAAGTGAAGTCTAATCTTATGGCTAGCAATGTAATTTATTCAGACTGTATTTTTGTACAGAACAGTGCACACTAACCTATTGCCTCTGTGTCCTCTATAATGCCTAAAACTGTGCCTAGAGATCTCATTTCTGTCTTCAAAAACAAATTACTAAGTACTTCATGCTGTTGATGGTATTAGTTTCCCTAATGTTGTTCTTTATTTATTTTTAAAAAGTGTGTGGTGTGTTTATTAAACAAATTCATCAAAATGTAGTTCATTTTTAATGGTCATTGTTAGGGAGAAATGACATGTTTCTTATCAAAACTGTTTTAAGTTTGCAGTTTTATTACCACTTCTGCATTTCACAACTTTTGTAGCTTACATAAAGTTATGTGGAAAAAGTAACTAAAAATAAAAAATACACTAACAAATGTACTTGCTTTGCTCTGTGTCCAATATTTCAGCAGTGGAAAAAATCCTGCTGTTTTTGTCCGGGAAAATGAGATGCATACTTTGTCTTAACTACTGATTGTCTAGCACTCAGCTACTACAGGGGACACAAAATGTGGCAACAAAGGGCCAAGTTCTGCCTTATTTCGTATCCCATGAAGTCAGTAGAGTTATATCTCTTTAGAAAATAGATAGTAATATTTGAATGACTGAATTCTTCGGTTTGTTAACAAAGTTTATTAACATTTGGAACGCAGCACATCAGTTTCCAGAACCTGAAGGTTGGTTTGGCTTTTCATTTTTAAAAACCTCTTATCTATTTCTCTCTCCTGACTTAGAGGTAGTACTTCATAAGTGGGTGCTTCTAGAGATGTCTCACCTGCCCACACTACTGCCTCAAGTCCCCTCTTTTCTCACCTGCCCTGCCTTGGTGTTTTAATAAAAAAAAAAAAGGAGGTGAAGTATTACCAACAACTTAGCATTATAGTTAGATGGCAGAGATTTTCTTCAGAGGGCTCCTCCATCCCCTACATTTTGCTGTATGCCATACCCCATTGGAATTAAGTTCCTTTGAATCCTCAATGAAATGTGCTCCATCTGGTTTCCTGGCCAACCTGTCCCAGATAATCCTCTGCCTCAAATTTACTTGCAGCAAATTCCTGAGGGAGGTTCCCCCTCTGTCACCATTGGTGAAGCCTGATTATTCAGGTACTGCCACTTTTCCAGTTCAGCTGATCACCATCACCACCACTGGAAAAATCAACTTTATTTATTCTTGCACTTGTACTTTCCTGGCCTAGTTGGTTAATGTCACCACCGCTGGTAGAAATCAACTTATTTATCCTTGCAGTTCTTCAGTCTAGCTCGTTAGCGTCACCCCGGCCAGTAGAAAATCAACTTAATTATCCAGGTAATGGTCCACTGTCTTTTGAAACATGTCTCAACACCACGTTCATGTAATTAACTTGATCAAGTAATGGTTTATGAGTCCTGGTCCCTTAACCAGCTGTCATCTCATTTTGTTTTCCCTTGTCAGTCAGCTTCTTGTTACCTTTGGTATGTGCTTGCTTTGTCTCCTGTTTTCCTGGTTCCTCCTGGTGCATTCTGCTGCAGTCAAGCGATCTCTAGCCATCTCTCTATGCTTACTGGCTCTACTCTCCCTGACTCCATCTCGACCCCAGCTTCCTTTCTGGCTTCAGCTCAGCTCCAGCTCCAGTTCTGGCTCCAGCTCCGCATCGCCACACAGCTCGCACAGCTTTGTCAGCTCCCCATGCATTCTCTTCTCCACAGGTATCAGATATGCTGGTAGCCCCTTTGAGCAGTCAGCTAAATTCCTTGGGGCCAGTGGGAGCAGGCTCCCTCTGCACATGGTCACGTGTCATCTATGTTGGCTCCTCCAGCCTCAGCCTGTATCTGTGCACCTGCCACCAAGTCTTCAGCATACATACTGCACCACTCAGTTCCCTGGGTAAGTCTTTAGCTGGGCTCCTGACTGGCTGGCATGCACAAGTTGTAACAGAGGGACCAGTGCCTTGTTGCATACTGTAACTAAGTGAACTTAACACCAGCCTTAGAGCCAAACAGATTCCATAGAGGTTACACACTGGTCCATCATATAAAGTGTTATTGTCATTCATGTATGCCTGTATTTATTGAATCTGGTGATCATACATGGTAGCAGGTGATGAATATGAAACAACTTGAATAGTCCAGAAACAATGCAAGAGGCAAGGATTTCTTAGAGTGAGTTCTTTTAAAACTATCACTCAAAGAAATATTTGCCACTTGCATGGAACTTGGAAGAATTTGAGTTGCAAACTGAAAAATGAAGTTAGAAACTGAGAGCAAGTAGAGCAATGTAGCCATGTGGCAAGCCAAGGGCTTCTCTGTAAGTGATCTTCCTGAACAGATGTAGTAACTGGACAGTTGGACATGGAAATTTTGCATCCTCCACCCTCCCTTCTGATACCAAGCAGTATCACAGGAAACTGGAGGCATTCAGTCAAAAGTGTGAGTGGAACCTAGCAAACAGAGGCAGAAGAGAAAAATGACTAGTGAATCTTCCTGCATATTGTGGAGGAGGAAGTCTGGCTGTTCATTATAACTTACCCTTTGAAGAAGGCCAAAATTTGCAACTAAATGTAATACTGTTCACCTTTGAGGAATACTGCAAGACCAAAAAAGAGAGACCCTTAAAAGACACAGATTTTTTTACATGAAGACAAACAACAAAACAAAGTATGTTATTGAACTAAAGAGACTGAGTAAGAACTGTGCTTCTGGGAACTTGACAGAAACTCTGTTAAAGAGATGATTATAAGTGGCCTTGTAGATACTCCATTACAAGAAAGGATGTTGTACAAGAGATAATTGCCCCTAGAAAAGACTATTTAAATAT